AAAAATTATGATATTATAACTTCAAAAACATTTTAAATCTATTTATAAAAAGTTAATATTATTGTTGGTATTAAATTATTCAAAAATTGTATAGGTACGAGTTAATTTTATTTTGCTATTAGTTAATATCATGAAAACATGTAAAGCTCTAATTAAATTAAAAATACTAGTTTTAAAAGCTCTAATTAAACACTAGCTCTTTTCTTACGTGACTTGCGTAATGATCATCACAAATGTAAAAAAAATACAAAACATGCAATGTAAAAATGTTAAAAGAACTTAAAATTCAGATAAGGTTTTGATCTTTTTAAAATACTAGGTACAAACTGTGTAGMGGAGTTTTCATGTACAAAAATTCGTACTTAATAAAAATACAAATGGTTACTATATTTTATTGAGCGTATATATGATAAATATTAGTGAAGTAATACGAAAGATTGCATGTTATGATTATATTTAGTGATTATTAGATACACTGTAGGGTGTATTTCGATGATTAACTGAATTTTAATTTTTTACTTTCACCTCAATAAGAAACATGTACATGTTGTAAAATTTCAATCCTATTTATTTATAATTAAAACACTTTTATCATTATAATKGCAAGTAAAAGATAAACTTTATTTTAATGAACGATGCAAAAAAGATATAATAAACCTAACAAATAACCAATTTCAAGATTTTCAATAATTAATTATTCTGGAATAAATTACTAAAATGTATAATTGCTAAGATTTGTAGTATTGTAAGCATAAAAAATTATASCAAATAATTAATAATTCTACCCCAATAAAACCAAACTTTAAAATAATGTTTGATAAAATTTAACCAGTATAAATATTATGTGTATAGGTTAGGTTCAGGTTATATATAGGTCATATTAATAATATTATTTTGCACTTAAATGTTTTGAAAATCATAAAACGAGTAAAATACATTTTATAGATCAAATGTTTCTAAATTCATATCAGGTATTTTTATTCATAGTGGTTAATCATTTTTTATACATAAAAGTCTGAATAACTTTTCTTTTTCATAATATCGTGTTTACCCAACCAAAAGTTACATGTTAACGTCTCTTTGCATATTCGCGGAAAATATATTTTGCCATGCACGTTAGAGTGTCAAAGTTTTGGCCGTTAAATCTTGCATCTACGATTTTTTTTCACCTCTAACGGCTACGCCTCATACTTAAAAAGTTCTTTCACATAAGTCTCTCAAAATACTTTAAAAGTTGATTTTTTTCTGATGCAACACGTCCAAACACGTGCATTTTACATCTCAGGTCATTCCAATAGATTATTATTATCCATTTCTGTTGCTGACTCTTTTCCCCCTTTTTAGTTTTTTTTCTTTCTAGAAAAAAATTGCTGCTTCGCACGCGACGCTGAATAGAATCATTAACACAAAGGTCTCTCTACCTTGACGCTTTTTCATTATAAACTTTTTCAAGTCGAGACTTACCTACAACAAACGGTTGCGTGCATATAATTTCATACACGGAGCACACATTATGAACACGTTTTAATGCAATTTCGTCTTTGACTCCGCCGTAAAATAAAAACACCAGCGACGGTCAATAAGTGTTTTGTATTTAGTTCTCAATCAGTGTAAAAAAGAAAAAAAAATAGTTTACAGTCAGTCTCCGGAGTTGATTTGCATATCGCATTATAGCTGTTTGTTTAGTGAAAATCCGTGAACCAGCGGTAGTCTGTTATTTTTACTGCTATTATGCGATGGCCGTTAAACGGTTTAAAGGATTTGAAAAAAAAACGATAACTGTGAACCTTTTGTGTTGCAAATCCTGCACGGTAGGATGTACTAGAATCCAGATAATACGCGGTGTGAATTAATCACCTGAATATTCAAACAACTAGATCACGAGAACTTTTAGGAATCATAATAATAATAATAATAATAAAACGTTAAAGTAATGCATTTCAAGTGCAACAAAATATTATATTAAATCAATAGAAATTATTGTGAACTTTAATATACAATTTAAATACTTATATGAATGATTATTATGATTGAAAGCAAGCATAAAATATATTTGATTTATATAACCTAATATATGAAATATGAGGTTTTATTTTCTAACAAATGAAAATATTTTAATTCATAATTAAGTTTCCAAACTATGGATTAAAGAAAATAACATTTTAAAAGTTGCATGTTTACTTCGTTGATAAATATAAATTCCAGAAGATAATAGAAGTAGTAGTAGTAGTAGTAGTAGTAGTAGTAGTAGTAATAGTAGTAGTAGTAATAGTAGTAGTAGTTAATAATAATAATTCCAAAGTTACATTTTTTTTTTATTCTAGGTACCTACAAGAAGTTTATTAGGTTACGGATATATTCTTTAATAAAATATAAATATGCATATTTATTTTTTTCATGTAAGATTTATTTTGTCATTATTCTTATAATGTTATTAAACCCCGTATATATATACTTTTATAGAAATGAAGTAATATTATAATAAAAGAAAAATCCACAACTGTATTTACTTAAGTGGGTGTGTGCTGATTGAGAATTATGCATGTATGTATATAGTTAAAATTCATTAAATTCTTGTTTAAAATTTTTAATACCCATTGCAGTATATATTTCAGGATATACGAGTAACTAAAAATTAATATTTATAGTATGGATAAGATTGAGTATCTATACATACACTTGAAAATGTGTTCTGCTTAAAATAGGTACCTACATAATATTACGAACAATTTAAATAAGATGATATTACTTTTAAGGTTTTAAGGACTGCTGTGGCAGGTCAAAAGCTCTAAATGCGTCGATATATGGGATGTATTTTACAGTRAGATAAATGTATTGTAATAATGCCTGAAAAAAAAAATCCAACTGGTATTACTGCATAATATACAATATTTTTAAGTTGCAGTTAACTCACATGCAATTCTTCTTGTTGAACAATAGTCATCACTCATCAGTTTCGGTAATAAATCAACAAGCAACAAACCACAGATATACCTATAGATAATATTATCCAATTATACCACCCACTGTTTTGTTATCACCTCACAAGTCACAACTAGTCTCAATATTTGGAAATCGGAATTATTCTCATTCAACAAACTGAGCTATGCCATCGGCATTATCATGCTCTCAGTTTAAGCCACTGCAGTGGACCTTTTATGGATTCATTTGCTACGTAAATCTATATATTTTATTTATATAATATTTTAAATATATCTGTCATAACTATTTTATAGTATTTGTCGGTTACAGTCTAAAATATTCAACTATCAATCAGACGGATAATGTAAAATACACAGTAGGTACAATACAGTCGAGATGAAGAAATTAAATTCTATCTTAACACATTTTTATAAAGAACTATAGTTCTTATATATAACAATATTTATAAGTGTTCATGAAATTAACATTTTTGGACGGTTTACTTACGAATAATTCTTAAGGAACTAAACGAAGTTTGTTAGTGTTTCAACTCCTCAATAAGGTTCTAACTTTCTCATGATTTACTACTCGAAATAATTGAGTTACATGGTCTGAAAATTTTAGCGAAACAAGTAACTGGGTAACTGAAATTAATCGTAACGTTCATTTAAAATATTTAATTTTGGTACTTATACATTTCAAACGAGTATTATATTTAGAGATAATCATACTTGGTTGAACACGCAACATAATTAGCAGTATTTTTTTCTATATCAAATTAAAAAATATAATAAGATGAACAAGTAATAACTAATAAGTAAGTGCCTATTAAAAGTTGTATGATTTATAAATTGTAATAATGTATGTTATAAGTATAGAATAATTATATTTTAAAGTTAAGTAAAATTATCATCAATTTTTAATTACATCTTTAATATAATACCTACTTTCATTGTGTTAAATAACTATCGCGTTATTTTTTAAATTCATCAAGTCTSTCTTAAGTTTGTATAAATGCAACACTATTATTATTATTATTTTTAATAAGTAAGACTTTTAACATTTTCAGTACTTTTAATGACGTTTTTAATGTATTTATTTATTGTTTATGTTTATTTAAACTATAAGACTTAATCTAATTATTGTATAAGCACACTTTGTTCCACGCACATCACATTTGTTATAAGCTCGAGTACAATATTATATGTAACGATTAGGTTTTAATGTAAGATCAATTATATAGTATTTGCATAAAACATTATAAATA